GGAGGAGGAGGAGGAGGAGGAGGAGGAGGAGGAGGAAGGACGCAGCTTGCTGGTCCTACAGAGCGCCGCCGGGGCACTTGCTGGCATTTTAAAAAAGCCCTGCCCGGCTGACCTTATGATCAGGAACGTGGCAGGGGACTCCAAAAGCACTTATGGGGGTTTGGGGGATGAGAACTACATCCCATTTCCATTCACACCACAGTCTTAACCTGGTTATTGACAGGGGCTGTCATAATAACCACCAATTCAAGCAAATGGCTGATTTGCAGAAGATGCTAAGCAGCAAAACAAAAACCAGCTGAACATTAACCAAGCTTGACATGTTGAGCGAGAGCAGCTACTAATTTTTTAACTGACCTCATTAAGCTGTTGTGTGAACACAGCCAATGAGAATTGAGCGGCCAACTGTGTGGTTCATTTTTCAGTTGATGGCAATACGGTGGGAGTGAATGGGTTGGCTGGGAATCGGGTGTCTTTGTCAAAACCAAAGATCTTGCTTAGATTCCCAAGTGACAGCGGGGGTAGGTCGCTGTATTTGAATGTGGGGCTGCTGCAGACTACCAAGTACTTGAAAAATACTCCAGCAGTAGCTTGAGTGACTCTACTAAGACCCATCAGTAAGCCAGCCCTGGCCTAAGTGGGTGTGTGTATTGTAAAATCTGACTCTCCAAATCAGGGTTCTATAATGAACAAAACATTTAAGCTGTAGTAGCTCTGGAAAAATGGGGTCTACACTTTACTGGGAATCTCAGTGAGGCTTATCAGGAGCAGAGGGCTCTTCTCAAGTAGCTGGATTCCACTGCCCTTAAACTGGTGTTGTATGTTTACTTATATTCACCCCACCCCAAAGTGTCTCACCTAAATAAACAAGTATTAAAATAAATAACAAGACATTATCAGATATAAACCATCATATCTGAGTTTCTGCTTACTGGAATCCTAATCCAAAAACAATTTATCTGGAAGAAAATTTCCCATGTAAGCAACATTTCCAGGTAACAGGACCCATAGTTTTATGATACAAACATCCTAATAGAATTCTTTCCAACTGTGACTGATAGCCAGGATACCCATGCTGTTACAGTAAGTGGGACCATCCATGGCCATAAGTAAACTGCCTATGTCATGTCATGTTATGCATGTCATATCTATCACCATAAATAGATTGCCTGTGTCATGTTATTTAAATTCCGGGTCTTATCAGTACCTGGTTGGAAGATTGTCTAGGAATTGTGTGCACATTATTTTGAGGTTCACCATGGAAGAAAAACTCAAAAAGACTAATTAAACAGTCCTATATTCAGTGCAATTAAATGCATGTGTTTAATAGGACTGACTTCCTAATAGATGTGTTTACTACTATAGACTAAAGCTGCAGTACTGTACATTTTTCGATGTGTAAGCATATTTAAGTCTTCCAAAATAAATCCATATGACTGCACATTCTAGGACAGAATCATTAATTGGGAATGGGTGTCACTGAACTTACTGAAAATTGTATAACAATCCCAAATAATTTACTTGATAGTATTAAGTTAAATCCAAATGTGCAAGTATAGTACAATCTATATATGTCTACTCAGAAATTAGTCTTGTTGAGTTAATCATTTCCAGGTATGTATGTATAGGGTTGCATCCTGGACTGAATTGCAGTCATGGTTATTGTACTGCTTTTGCTTTGGGGAGTAGTGACCTGTCATTCCAAAGCCAAGTGCTTGAGAAATGCTGTTTTCCATTTGGGTCAGATGTTGACGATTTCTCTTCTCTTTCCGAATATTGCAGAGGACTTACTGAAAAATCATTCCATCTTACTACTGCTACTTTTTCCTTCTCATTGTGGAAAGGAAAGGAAAGGAAAGGAAAGGAAAGGAAAGGAAGGCCAAGACAATGAAGCACAGAGGGAATTGAACTTCCTCTCCACAAAACCTGAAGCACTCCCAGATTCTGCCTTTGCACTCCAACTGTTTAAAGAGAGATGTAGCCCAGGGCTGTGGGCATTTACTAGGGAATACAGTTCAGCGAGCTGAACAGGGCTCGCTATTCCCAATAAGCATGCATAGAATTGCAGACCAGTGCTTCAGTCCCTTACGTACTTATTGAAAGTGGGGCTTACTTTCAAGTAAACATGTAGAATCAGGATGTATGATGGACGCAGAAGCAAAAGGGAGAACTGTGATGCAAAAACATCTATCTACCTATTCTTTACCCTGAAAGTTAAATTATACTGCCTATTTCACATAAATCTTCAGCAGAACTAGGAGCTTCCCTTCTTACTGAAATACAGTATTGCCTCTCCCCCCCCCCACACCTTTTGAAAACCTTTTTCACTACTTTTAGGCCATAAATTGAAACCCAATCTCATTTTACGTACCAAGAAGTAACAGGATTTATATAGAATTGTTGTATGTGGTCAGACCAATCTTAAGCATATTTACTGAATTCAGTAGATTTATTCTGAAATGTATGTGAAAAGGTCTGCAGTCCTAGTTGCCTAATACTTGTGAAGATGTGGAAAATCCAAACTATGCTATACTCAAAGAATCCTCTGAAATGTCTCTTCTCCTATCTTTGTCTACTTTCCCACTACCAATCCCATTATAAAATGCTTCCATTTTTTCCTTGCAATCTTTTTATTATATAAAAAATCTATTTGTATCAAGCCTAACCAATTTGGGGAATATATTAAGCTATTTTTGTATATAAGAGTCAGAGAAATTTATAGCCTTTTTTTGTACAAATGGTTTAAAATGTGTATATCTTGATAACTTTTTTAAAGATATGTGATGTTTATTACCTCTTCATATCTAGATGTGTAGAGAACATGACCTTACAACTGCCATGTTTTTGTTATGTGGTTTTGTAAAGGACTTGGAAATGCCTCCAAATGTACTTTAGCACCAACGTGTCTTACTTTTTTATAGAAAGTTTGCTAATGTATTAATAAACAATGTTCAGAATGAACAAACTTTATGCAGCTATTGTCCAAACGCAAAATGGTAGCTATTTATTTTACAAGCTGCTGCCTTTTGAAGAAAAAAGAAAGAAAGAAGAGGAAACACTCTTCTACTGCCTTTCCATGCTGTTTTATTACAAACTCACAAAAGTCATGTGTAACAATATTTTATACAAATTAGTTTGGTAATAAAACTTTTGTTTCAATTAACATGATGTCTTCCTGGTTGTTGTGTACCATTCTGCCATTGATTAAACCTACATCAGAAAAGGCAAGTATTTGGGTGGCATGTCACTTCTAAAAGTACGTATTATAGGATTTCTATACAGAAGCTCCCATATTATGCTGGCATTCTTTTGCCTTTCTGTTTTGCAAATATGTATTAAATCAAGAGAGGCCTGCCTGTCTGCCTCTTTCATTGTCCTTCATTGTAACCGCTGGGCATTTCAAAATTTTCTCTCGAGAATGGATCCCAACAGAGAGGGAGCTCTTTCCTACATCTTCAAGTCTTTCGAATTTGACCACCTCCTGATAAAACAGGGTGTTGTGGATGAATCAGATTGGGCTGGGAGGAAATTAGGGGGCTGACAGATAGGCAGGGGCTTGTGAGGAGAGGAGCATAATGGCTGTTAATATATAATTGCATTTATCAGGCACTATACATAAAATCAGCATAAGTTAGTGCCAGTGATGGAAAAATGAAACTAAAAAATAAACAGTGAAACAGAAATGTCCACCTTAGATTCAAATCATTGATTTTTCTGGCTGTTATGTTCCCTCCACAGCGTGATCTGTGTGTAAAAGTACCCAATTACCAAGACTCAAAAAGAAATTGGGGCCTTCTCTCTCACTCCGTTTTTGGCTAGCCTCCTTGTCAGTTAGTAAAGACGTGACTAGAATCCATCTCAGGTTCATTCCCCACCACTGCCACCCTTTTCCCCTTCCCCTTCCCCTCCCCCTCCTGCTTTCGTGCTCAGCTCCTCCCGCGCTGCTTTCCAATTCAGTTTGCGCGTCCCACCACACTCAGCGGCACACATCCTATGAAACATGCATCCCACCCAATGAAGATCAAATCACCGCACGTAGTCAGCCACCCTGTCTTTCAAATCCAGCTTCCTCAAAATGAACAGCAAATCATGCAGAAATTCTTCAGATATAGGCTACAGAGGAATTTTATTTAATTTGCTAGCATTGCATTTCCATACATTCAGCCTCCTGTCTCCCCCTCCTCCCCCCATGTTTTTCTCTTCTCCCCATTAATATGCCACTAGGAGGCAACTGGAGAAGCAAGCAGAAAACATCCCAGCGCCCATTACTTGAGTACAAACATTCATTGTTGACACTGATCTTGGAACCAATGTTTGATTATGAAAATAGTAACGGTTATCACCCCCCCCCACCCGCTTTCCCAAGTTTGACTTTTTCTT